TCGATTATTCTTACCTGTTCACCAATTAGCATAGCTAAATTTGGAGCTACTTGTCCCATTTTACTTCGTAAATACTAATTATAAAAATATAAAAAATAAAAACAACTTGTTTTTTTCTTTTTTTTTTTTTTTTACTTCTTGTAAACTTTTTCGATATTCAAATAAATGAATAACACGATTAGCAAATGATTCAATATTAATAAGATCAATTGGTGAAATATCCATACCTATATATTTATAAAAAAAAAAATTCTTAATATAAAATAACAAAAAATTTATTGAAAATAAACCAATAGTTGTTTTCATAGCTTCAAATATTGCTGCTGTTTTCCCACTATCCATTGTAATAGCTTCTAATTCATCATGATGATCAATTGAAAATTCTTTTCGATTTTTAATTAAATGTACAACTCGTGCATATGTATAATTATCTGAAATAATTTTAATTAATTCTGGAAAATGATAACCATACCATTCTCTAAATCCAAAAAAAAAGACCAATGATATAAATATAAAACTTATTCATGAAAAAAAAAGAATCTTACCGAATACGCATTGAAAATGTATTTATATCTTTATCAAGTTGATCAAGTAATGCAATTGATTGTATAATCATATTATCAACACGATTAACATTAAATTTAACTTTAGCACGTGAATATGCATGACCTAAACCAAGTTGTGCTTTATTTTGATTTTGATCTGTTAAACCTTTGACTAAATTTGGAAAATGAAGACGAAGACCTTTAAAAATAATATTAAAAAAAAACAACAACAATTGAACATTTTTTTTTTGTTTGTTTATTAAATTTTACCTCGTAAAAGTTCTGGTATAACACCTGTATGTTGACATGTTATTGAAAATAATTCATTTATAGCTGATGCTATACGTGGATCAGCAACACCAAGAATCATTTTAGCACGTTTTTTTTCTTTTGGTAAATTTGTATCAAGAAATGTTCGTAGATCATCATGAACTAAACCTGTGAAATATGGATTTAAAGATGAATGTTGAAGTAAATATTTTCATAAATCTCATATCACTAAAGCTAAGAGGTGTGTGAAACTATGAGAGAAAACTTGTCTCCATCGGAATTAAAGAGGGATGATGATTCAAAAATATGTGCCAGTCATTGATTACATAAATTAAAAAAGAGACTATTGGGGTCGAAACCATAGGACTTGGCGCCACATATGTTTCGTTATAGCATACGAACTTCTTCTTCTCTATTGCCTTTCTAAGAGGTTAAGTAAGAATAAATGTACGATAAAATAATCTCTCTATGATTAGCAAGAACAGCTATATTGTGTTTTATATTTTAATCTTGTAGAGATTGTAGTTAGACTCTTTACTTTTATGTTTTTTTTTAATATACAAAAAGAAAATATATACGAAATTAACCTTCAGATATAGCATTTATATTATCAAGTGCATTAACACCAGATTGAAATGGATGAAATGCCACAAGTTTAACGACAGTTGCAAATTTTGATAGATCAATTACACTTGCTTCTACTTGTGGTATATTCATACCAATTTCTTCAAATTCACGAACACGAAATAATGCATAACCAGATGCATGTTCAAATAGAATATATAGATTTGACTAGAAAGAAAGAAAAAAAGATGAATGATATTTTGAGAGTTTCTTACCATGAGTTTTTCTTTCTTGATATACCGAAGAAATATGAAAACAATAAGATGAGAAAGTGTTTATTACCAAAAGAATTCAGCTATCTGATTAGTTCATTCATCAATCAATAAGATTAGAAATAGGGTGCGGCGCTAATTTCTTCTCATCATGAAGACAGGTAAAATCGATTGTGTTTTTCATTTTAATTTTCCTTATGTTGATAAAAATCTAGTGACAGCTAAAATATGTAATCAAACAGTTGACTATGAATCCTTGTTAACTCAATGGAGTATCTATAGAAAGAAGCTGCAAGTTAACAATTTCATATATTAGTTTTAAATAGATGCCGCTATTTATCATTAATCAAATGAAATGTGACTACCTAATGGTACTAACAATGAACGAATCATGACAGTATCATTTTGTTCTGTTTTAACATCAATTATTTTATTTTCATTCATTTGTGGCTTTTTTCTTTTTATCTACACGTTTTCGTTTGCCTACATACTCGATATATCATGACACAGCCGGTGCCTCCTAGAGTAAGTTTACCTTTTCTCGAACGTAGTTTGTAATCAATAATATTATTATTTTATTAATTTAGGCATCTGCTCATAAACCATATCTTGATGCTATTCGAGCAACTCTTCAAGCTGCTTTTTGTATTGAAAATTTTGAATCCCAAGTTGTTGAACGACATAATAAACCTGAGATTGAAGTGAAGTATGTATTAAAAAAAAACAAAAATAATTTAAACAAATACTATAATCTTTTTTTTTTCTTATTTTTATTAGATCTTCAAAACAATTATTACTTAATCCGGTTATTATTAGTCGTAATCAAAATGAACAAATTCTTATTGAAGGTTCTATTAATTCTGTTCGAATTAGTATTGGTGTTAAACAAGTAAAAAATTTTCTTAAATTATTTCTAGTAATCGAATTTTTATATCAAACTCAATAGGCTGATGAACTTGAAAAAATTTTATGTAAACGTTTCATGCGTTTTATGATGCAACGTGCTGATGATTTTCATATACTTCGTCGAAAACCAATACCTGTATGTTAAATCTTCATTTACTTTTATATAAAAGATAATAATTTTTTTGTTGATTTAGGGTTATGATATTAGTTTTTTAATAACAAATTTTCATGCTGAAACAATGTATAAACATCGTTTGGTTGATTTTATAATTTATTTTCTTGAAGAAATTGATAAAGAAATTAGTGAAATGAAATTAGCTGTTAGTTCACGTGCACGAATGTGTGCTGAAGAATTTTTAAAAAAATTTAACTGATACTTTCAATATCATACTTATGAATAAACTAATTATCATTATGAAAGTGTATATCGATCATTAGGAAAAAAACACTTATTCTTTTTATTTTCTTTTCTTTGGATTATATATAATGATTATATACTTCTTAATTTCATTTTCTCTATCATCAACATTCTTTTTCATTTATGTTTTCCTGATTTTGATAAGTAAAACATTGTTTACATTTGTGTTTGAAGATTTTTTTTTTTTTTTTTTGGTTGAGAAAAGATATTAATTGATAAAAAAATATTTGATTCGATTCATCTCGACATTTTTGTTGATTTCTTTTTCTATAGTATAGAAAGAGGTAAATGCAGGTACAGTGTATGAAATAATATTGAAAAATATTGTGATGCTAATAGAATTTTGAAGAATTAGATAGAAATTGAGGTGCTACCCAGGTCTACTGTTCCGATCGCCGGAACCGTTTGTTTCCTTTGTTTTCCAGCAGCGGATCCTATAGATTCCGTTGGTTTTCGGTCGGCTCCGTTGACTTCCGACGATTTCTTGACTACAGGATTCCGGTCCAGTTTCCGCCGGAAAAATTCCGTTAAGTTCTGCAAAATTTCGACCAGGAATTCGTCGGAAATCGACGGAACCTGATCGGAACTGGTCCGACGAAATCTGGACCGGAATCCTGTAGTAAAGAAATCGTCGGAATTCAACGGAACCGATCGGTTCCGACGTACCGAGCTTTGACCTGGGCCATTACATTTTTTAGATCAAGATAAGATTATTTTGTTGAATATAAAGAATTTTTACCGAAAAAAAAATCAAACTTGAGATTCTGAATAATTCATCTGTAGATTTGAATTCTTAGACATCGGAAACTTTTAGTCAAGTTTTAAAAATACTTCTTAAATTTTATCGGAATAATATAACACTCACTTCTATGTATCATCTTGTTCTCCATCTCTACTAGCCTTACTTCTAAGTTTCAGTAGTACAAGGTGCTGATGATATTAAACCTGTACATTCTTCCTTGATTCTTCATGTTTAGTGATCATCAATACAAATTTTTATAAGAATATTTTCGAAAGAAAGATAATGTATGAATAATAAATTTTAATATCTTGATAGTTACATTTTGTTTACATGCGTTTAATATAAGATATGTCAAAAAAGTTCGCAACAATTTTCATATCGATATAAATAGAAAAATTCCAGAGAACTTTTTTCAACAAATTATACCACAAGATGCAGCGTGAAAATTTCTACAATTTACAAAGAACAATGATAAAAAGATGGAATAAGAAAGAGCGAATTCATCTTGTACTAAAAAAATATTGTTTTCATATGGTCGAAATTCGGTCGCTCAAAATTTTGTCTATTTTGAAAAACAAAAACCACAACTATAAAATAAGCGATCTTATGGATATTGTAGAGCTTTTCACGCTGTATCTTATGGTATAATTTGTCGAAAAAAGTTCTCTGAAATTTTTCTATTTATATCGATATGAAAATTGTCGCGAACTTTTTTGCCATATCTTATAAATCTAACAAAAAAAAAATAGATTACATTCTTTTACCTAAAAATCGGTCATTTAAAATATGAAATGATTAACTTCATTAAATATGATAATAATTTTCTTCACTAAAAGCGTTTTATCAATATAATTTTTCTTAAAAATTACTGATGTTCAATTTGACATTCATAAAAAAAAAGACTCATTATTATATAACTTGATGATGTATTTTAATTAATTCTCGAAAGGATTTTACTCTTTCTATGACATTGATTAGTACCAAAAGAACATAATTTATTTATTACATTCTCAAACAATATTCGATTTATCAATATATTTTCGCATTTAATTGATGTTATGTCTAGTTGCTTCATTCATCATGACATCAGCATTTTTTCTGCATTTGCACTTCAAGCCTACGCAATTGGTACATTTGTGAACCTTATCCTCTTCTCTCATAACGTCATTCAATAGGAAAAGAAGAACATAAATGACGTCATGAATAAACAACTTTTTCTTATATAATTGATGCTTGTTCTTCCGGTGCCTTTCATATTACTTTTTGTTTTGTTCTTTAATACAATGAAAAATACAAAATTATTATTTAATATTCATTATTTATCTTCGCCAACAATTAAATATTTTTATCAATTGAATTCTATTCAATCTAAATGTCTTCTTCATACAAGTATACCATTAATGAATAAAGATATGGCAAAGATAGATTCAATTGAAGAACATCCTCATATGCGAGCTGTAACTAAAGCAATAATTCAACATAAACGTATGTATAAAGAAAGATAATAATGAATTATAAGCAGAGACATTTATTTACAATAATAAAATTCTTGTTAAACTTCGTTTTTTTTTTGTTTACACTTTTTTTTATAGAACCAGAAGATTATATGATGCATCATCAAATTTATACAGAAAAAGACCTTAATAATATTAAAATAACACATAAAAAATTTGAATCATGGCATGATCGTGTAGCCTATGGAGCTGTTCGAACTTTGCGTTTTTTTTTCGATACATTTACTGGTTATATGCATCCATCAAAATCTGATTTCAAACAAGAAACTCAACACTCATATAAAACTATGACTGAACAACAATGGTTAAGACGTTTTATATTTCTCGAATCAATTGCTGGTGTACCAGGAATGGTTAGTGGAATGAGTCGTCATATGAAATCACTTCGTAAACTTCTAAGCTTTGAATGATACTGGATAATCGTTTCATTATTTGAAGGTACAATGCGTCGTGATTATGGATGGATTCATACACTTTTATCTGAAGCAGAAAATGAACGTATGCATTTACTTACATTTTTAGAATTACGACAACCAGATTGGATCTTTCGTAGTTTAGTTTTATTGGGTCAAGGTGTATTTTTTAAGTAAGAATTTTTTTTTATTTTTACAAATAATATCAATAAATCAAATATTTATTGTTTCTTTTTTTTTTGTTTTTTGTGTGTTTAAGTGCTTTCTTTCTTACATATCTTCTTTCACCAAGAATATGTCATCGTTTTGTTGGTTTTCTTGAAGAAGAAGCTGTTATTACTTATACACGATGTATTGAAGAGCTTGATAATGGTAAACTTCCAGCATGGTTAATTTTATCAGCACCAAAAATTGCTAAAAATTATTGGAAATTATCTGAAAATGCTACAATGAAAGATGTTCTATTAGCTATACGTGCTGATGAAGCTACACATCGCGAGTATGTTGAAAGATTTTTTTGCTTTTTTTTAATCGATTTGATAATAGTTTTATTTTCTAGAGTCAATCATAAATTAGCTGATGTTGGACCTGATGCACCAAATCCATTTGTTATTCAAACTCATCAAGTAGAAGAACATTGATGTAATTGGCAAAAAATAAACATTCTTTTTTTTGGTCTTATTTTATTTTATTGATGTAATAAATTCGTTTTTTTTTGCTTTTAATAACGGTCTATCGAAAAGTTTTTGAACAAAATGTTTGCCCATTTTTGACTCTCTTAAAAGTATTCTCGACGAGTGAAAAACTAGGGATTAGGACCAGAATTTTGTGCTGTTTCAGAATATGGGCTCAGAAATTGAATACCTATTTTTGTCCTAGACTAGTAAGGGAATCTTAAAACGTCCTGAAAAATTGATGTGAGTGGCGAACAAACAGGCATTTGCGACCTCAGTAAGTCCGTGCTAAAAATGGTTCACTTTGATAATTTTGTAGAGTGAACAATCCTTTACAAAATATTATGTCGAACTAAAATGTAGCTTTTACATAAGTGAAACTATAACCATTTTCGTAAGAGCTACATCTGTCTAAATCGAATTTTGATCAAAAAATCGATTTTTCAAAAATACGACTGATAGAAAAACAACAATTTAGATATTTTATCAGAACAAAAAATTAAACTGAATTACTACATTTTGTAGAGCAAATTTTGCTCTACAAGCTGATATGTAAAGAAAAGTTTCAGCATTTAGTTTTGAACACCAAGAATGGAAACACGAAATTTTCTGTCTAAACTATGTTTTTAGGCCTTTCAAAGATTTCTTCGCTACTCTCGAGCGAAAACAGATACACAATTTCTGAGCCCATATTCCGAAAGAGCACAAAATTCTGGTTCTAACCCTTAGTTTTTCACTCGTCTAGGATACTTTTAAGAGAGTCAAAAATGGGCAAACATTTTGTCCAAAAACTTTTCTATAGACCGTGTATATCCAGTAAGAAAAAGGAAGGCATTTCTTTTTTGTCAGATAGGAAGATGAACGATCGAGATGACATATTTCTTTTTTTGTGATTGTCACATTCAATTTTACTGTGCACCTCAATTGGTTTTCTTCTCTTGATATTTTTGTGTTTTTATTGCTATACTTCTTTTATTTATTAAC